CCGGATAATGTTTGGATACATCCGGGGCATTAGAATATTTAAAATTGTTTTACTTTATCTGGTAATCCAGAAAAATAAAGTTCAGATTGCTTGAACCCATATTCATAAGCTTTTCCATTTACTAAGTAGTTCTTATACATTAGGTATGTGCCAGGTACTGTTCTAAGCCCTCAGAATAAATAGTGAACAAAACCTACAAATTCTTATCCTTTGAATCATACACTCTTGCTGGGTAAACTAGTACAGTATCCCCTGCTTGTTAATGGAAGATTCATTCTGAGACCCATGGTGAAGCCTGAGACTGCATATACTACATCACATGCCTAAGACAAAGTTTGATTTACAGATTAATTTCAGTAAGAAGATGGCTAAAATTAACAATTTAATTAGAATATAATGAAAGTTATTTAATGAGTCTTTTTTTAATTTCTAGAATTTAGTATTTAGTAGTTTTGGGGTATGTTTGACCCCGAGTAACTTAAATCATGGGGAAAATAGTATAGATGAGGGGAGAATACTGTATGTTGGAATAAATTAAAAGGTCCAGGGTGATTGGAGGTCTGGCCAGAAGTCAAAATTGGAAGTTGTATAAACAGCACTCAGAAGACCCTCGGGTGCAGACATATCATTGAAAGTTTGAGACCAGTCTGGGCTACACAGTGAGTTCCATGTCAGCTAGGGCTACATAGCAAAATGCTGTCCTTTAAAACAGTGAATAAAAATGGACACCTTGGAGGAAAAAAACAAACAATTTAGTGAAGACTAGAAGATAATGAAGGAATATGTTAGAGAAAATATTCGTATGGAGTGTGAGCCACCAGAAGGAGTGTTCTAAGAAGTGGGAACTTGCCTTATGGGCTGGTGACTCACTAAGGAGAGCGGTATGGCTGATGCAGAGGAATGAGAGGGAAGTATGGTAGACGAGGTCACAGAGGTAATGCTATTTGTGAGACACAGATTTCAGTGTCTTTAAAATACTCCAGTTTTTTAAACTTTAAAAGGGTTTAATATTATGTTTTACTTAATCCAATGGATTCCAAATGTTATTTCAACATGTAATCTAATGTGTGTGCTGTACATCTCAATTCAAACTAGCCACTTTAAAGAATGATTGAGGATGGTTCTCAGCATTAACCTTGGGCCTATTCATGCACTCAGACACATATGTCACATACATGCCTACAAACATGAAAAATGGAAAAAAATAAAGAAATTCCTAGCCACCTTGCAAGAGTTCAGAATCCATAGCTCTGAGAGAAACAGAGAGAGCAGTAGAATTGATTTTAGCTTGGAGTCTATTTTGCTCCATCAGCAACCTAGACTAGTGGTGGGATTTTCTTTTGTACACCTTGTTTTTTGAAATTCCATTGCATTCTAAATGAATTACTTTTATAATTTTTAAAATGAGGGAGTTATCCACTACCACATGTTTCTCAAAGTTCCCACGGAAAAGCTCTGAAGGCAGTAGCATATTTGTTACAATATAATCAGTGTGCCGCTGTGCACACAGCCTCTAATATCGCTGTGTGGCCTTGGGAAGAACACAATATTTCTGAGCATCGGTTTTCTTGTATAAAAAATGGAGATAATACCTGCTCTACTTATTTTGTCTCTAGTCATAGGAATAAAATGGAAAAGCATTTTAAAAATTATAAAGCCCTCTAAAAATGTGAAGACTAATAGTTCATGTGCCAGTTAATGGCCTACTTCTTTTTAGCAGTAGTCAAGCAACATAAAAATTCAGTTTCAAGTAGAGAATTTGCATGATTTCCTAGAGTTAAATGGAACTCTTAGGTTTTATATAGCAGCAGTATAGATATTTTACTTGGACGTTCCAGAATGTCTTGTGTGAAATAGCCTGATACAGACAGGTTTTGGCAAAACCCTCAAATTGTTTATTCTACTAATCTTAGAGCCAACTACTTGAGTCATGTTGCATTAGTCAGTAAGCATTTCCATGCTCAGTGTCTAGCACTCTTCTGTGGGTAGGTGGCTAATACCCAGGTTTGTCTGGGTCTGTCTCAGTTTATACTGTCCATCTCCTGTAATTGCCAGCAATGCTCTTTTCAGTCCCCAAAAGTTTCCTAGTCAATGTCTTAGGGTTTCTATTGCCGTGACAACACAAGATAACCAAAATCAGCGTGAGGAAAGTGTCCTTTGGTTTACATATTCCAGGTCACAATCCACTGGAGGAAGCCAAAGCAGGAAATCAAGGCAGAACCTGAAGCAGAAGCCATGGAAAAATGCTGCTTAATGCCTTGATTCCCCTGGTTTGTTTAGTTTATTTTCTTATACACCCCAGGACCACGGTGGTCTGGTCACTCCCCCATGTCGATCATTAATCAAGAAAGTGTCATGTAGACTTGCCTTCAGGCCAATTATGGAGGCATTTTCTCAATTGAGATTCTCTTTTCCCAGGTATGTCTAGATTTTTGGTAAGTTGATAGAAACCAACTAGGCATTCAGTTATATTGACACTCTACTATGGCCACATATAGAACATGGGAGGAAGCATAGAACTCCCCTGGTTGAAAACCACTATACCTAAAAAGAAGACTAGGTCATGTATTTGAGAGGGAGTGGAAGAGAGAATGGGAGGAATTAGAGGGGGAGTAAAGGGAATGGAAAAGATGTAAATACACTACTCATACATTGATTCTCAACAAAAAGAAAAAACAGAAAATGGCTGAATCTAAACAAGCTCTCTTTCTCTACCACACCTTCATACCAATCAAAATGCCAATGACTTAAGTGAAAACAGTGCGTCTTTTGGAGACTTGATGGCCTTAGAAGCCAAGACTTATCCAGGGCTCAGAAGAACTGGTGGAAACTTCCAGAGGACTACCCTATGAGTTATCCTCTGGTGCAGAACTTCCCTTACACTTTTTCTCCTTATCACATTGATCAATTCTTCTGATCAGAAATTTATTTAGAGGGCAGAAGCAATTGATCATCAAATAGTGGAAAAGGTTGCAAATTGTTCATGAATAGCATTGTTCCCTCCTGCCTAGAAGCTGGGATTTTCTTTTACAGAAGGGAATGTTTCCTGGAGGAATACAGATAGAAAGGAAAAAGAAATTTGGAGTATGAGATATCTGTGAAGTGAATTCTCCTTTAATGACAACCTAAGAACTCAGGAGACTGTGGAGGTAGGTTCAGAAAGGAAAGGAGGCCTCAGGGACATGCAATACTTATTTGCAGAAAAACATCTGGTGCACAATCCCTGCTTTGTAGGGAAAAACATGTTTTTCTCTACCATCTGCTATTTCTTCTCTTTCTCCCCATTCTTTATTGCCTAGTACGTGGAATTAAGCTGGTTCTCACGTAAGGTCTGCACAGGTCTGGGACTATGACTCATCATATTGTTTCTGCAAGAATATGGATTATTTGGTACATTTTGGGGGCACACTTGTAAGTTATGACCTTCCTATGTAAGGACTGACATTTCTCCCTGAAGGGGCTCACTCTCCCTCAAAGGACTCACAGTCATTGAATTTAGGTGAGACTGTTAATAAAAAGGAAACTACAGGGAACCGTTGAGTACCAACTGTCCAATACTGATTACCTGCAAACAAAATGTGAATTTTTGACAGGGGTATCCAAGAGAGGGCTGGCATGTACATTTACAAAGTCTGAAAATATGCTTAGACACCAAAATGAGGGAATGGAAAATTCAGAGGAATGGCAGTCCTTAAGGTTTGGCATCAGACGTGGGTGTGGATAGGGAAAGTCTAGAAGGAGGAGTTAGAGCTGATAGACATGAAATGGTTTTCTGAAGAGGGAGGAATTCACTTGGCTAAAGAAAGATGGAAGTAAAGTAGTTTTTAAAATTAAAGTTCATAAAACATATCATTTGAAATGAGTGCTTTCCATCTGACTAAACACACTGAGCAATAAATCTTTGCAGCATTTAATGTGGCTAAAGTTTGGATGTAATGAGAAACTGGAAATCCAGATGAAGGACTCTAGGCTTGCTGGCAGTCCATGGAGAGTGTCTTATTAGAGTTGGTACATTAGCCTGAGACTGGTACACGGGATGAAGGAGAAAAAAATCCAGAGGAGCATTCAGGAGACTGCTGCTGTAGGCTAGATCACAACCAAAGCAGCAGGTTGGAGAAGGGACAAATCTGAGAGTCACTGTAGAGATGGAAGCAGCAGGACTGGAGGAGGCCCTTAGGTTTCCCAGAGTAGCTTAAGCATGAGGGGAACTCTATCTGAAATTCATGCTCACATCCTCCCATGCTCTCCTAGTGAACCTCTAATTTCCAAAGAAACCCTGTGGCATCTATAAAGTAACTTAATTCTGAAAAAAAAAAAACAAGCATACTCATCAAATGGCAGACTTGGAGCATCTAGTCATCACCTGGTTTTGCACATTAGGTTAGTGAGTTATAGTGTTTCTAGCTTGGGAGACATGAGAATGGAATTTTACTTCCATTTTTGATAGTATTTATACTGGTGGTCCTTAAAAAAAGTGATGTGCTTATAGGAATACTTCATAGTCCCTGGGCCCTTCCTCTGAACCTCAAATTCCCAGGAACGGCTATGTCACCGATTTACTAACCTAGTTTAAGAAAGGTGCTTCATGGATCAGTGCTCTAAGAATTTTGTGGAACTATTAATTAGCCTTGTCAAATTTTATTTGCATACGTTCTCTTCCAACTATGTCTTCTCTCCTCCAAGTACACGTTTTTAATAAAATTGACTTTAAACAATGAGACCTAAGAGAATCTGTACAAAGAGCTGGAAGAATCTAAATCCATGAGTTTATTATTAACACAGTAGCAAATATATCAAGGGAACACACCCGGGGAAAAGCGTTTCAAATAAACACAGATCTGCTGTACCCAATAAGCAAGCTGGAAGAGGCCTATTTGCTTGGTAATGCCCAGCAGATAAGCCAGGCAAACCTCTCTGTGTGAGTGAAGAAGCCAGTTTGAAACTCAGCCTTGTTCAGGCAAATTCCTGACTGGCACCTGCTGCTCCAAGCGATTCTCAGCATGATAATATTTGCATTTTGGAAGGTCCTTCTGATCTTCAACTGCCTTGCAGGTAAGGAATGGATCTTCCAACCACCTACGGCAACTGGAAGTCGAATTTTTCTCTAGACTAAAATTGTAAATTTTTAGAAAAATCTTCCTTTCCCAGACTTCCAAGAGATTATGATTAGCGTGCTGGTTATTTTCAGAACACTTGTTTAGCAATTATGTTCCGTGTTGATGATTATTGGGAGGTCAGTCTGTGGTAAAATTGACTTAGCTTCTGAAATGAGTTTCCCAGTTTCTTTATTTTCCAATTTTTAAAAATTTATTTCGAAAGGTGAACAAGTGAATTTGCTCAGAAAATCAAAGTTTGTGCTTAAAGATAAGGTTTCTCTTTTAATTTAGTGTTTCCCCTAAGCTCACCATGGTTCACTCACTTTGCCACAGAAAACAGAGCTGGAACTCAAGACTGCATGAGCATATTTGTGGAGAGACGAGGGGGGGAGAGAGAGAGAGAGAGAGAGAGAGAGAGAGAGAGAGAGCAGTTAGCGACGATTTCCTACAAAGTGTGGTTTTCAAGTTGTAGGAATGTATTACAGAAATTACACAATCGAATTATCATGTAACAGTATGGTCGATTTTAGGGAGTTGAGCAGAACAAAATCATTTTTAGAGCTTCCCAGGGTTTGTTAAGCTCAGAAGTAATTAATTTGGAAAGTAGCCCTTGGCTGAATTTTTAAAGCTAATGCCATGTATATTTTGAATCTGTTTTGATTCAATGGTTAGTTAAGTTTATGGTAGCTACAATAATATTGTGTATCAAACAAGGGAGCTCTTTTTAAGTCGTGAGTAATGTTAGGCTGTCATTATCATGCAATTTTATAAGCATATTTAATGATGTAAAACTATGCTCAGACTCGGAGAGAAGGCCTCACCCTTCAGAAGGAACAGAAAGGATATGTGATAGGTAGGGTTTTAGTTGGGGGAGGGTGGTAGGGGAGGACAGGAGGGAGAGGGAACAGGATTGACATGTAAAACAATCTTGTTTCTAATTCAAATAAAAAAGATCTGCAAAAAACACCTATGCTCAGGATAAAATGTGAAAAGTCAAGATACACAAACATTAATAATAATAAATTAAAAGAAGATAATATAGTAATCATGGTTACTTCTTGGTTATGTGATTAAAGATTTTGATTTTATTTCCCTGATGTTCTATGATTAGGAAAATATTAATTCTAATACTGTCCTGTGGTTAGTAGTGAATCTCTAAATATCCATTATTAAATGTCTAAACAAAGATGTTATATGAAGTCAAAAGTCACCAGAAAGCAATTTTGAATTTACTCCATGATTTGTCCTGGTCATAGAGTTGGAAACATCTTACTTAGTTAATTTACCTTAGAATTTTGTTTCTATTTAATAGGTGAGGAAAATCTCTGTCATTTCCTTCAATTGTTAGCTAGTTGGGTCAAACTATAGGTGCTCCGTACCAAACCTCTATGAGCACACCTTTAGTTAACATAATTCTTTATGTAAACCTTGTTCTACTTTAGACATAGGAGCATAACAGGTACCTGAATGACTTTTATTATAAATATATACGTCTATGTAATTTTACTGATGATAAATATAATAGATATTCACTATATCTATTTGAGAATATGGGAATTTATCAATAAAATATAATCTTACCACCCAGATTTGAGTAAATTACCTAATTTTTTAAGAATAGATATTATATTCAAATGGGGCCTGTGCCTTGTACCTCATGGTCTATTATTTAAACAATGATTTAGCATGGTGTTGAGATCTTTTTGTTTGTTTGTTTTTCGAGACAGGGTTTCTCTGTGTAGCTTTGGAACCTATCCTGGCACTTGCTCTGGAGACCAGGCTGGCCTGGAACTCACAAATATCTGCCTGCCTCTGCCTCCTGAGTGCTGGGATTAAAGGCTTGTGCCACCAATGCTCTGTGATGTTGAGATCTTGATTGTAACTTTCAGTAGATGACCCAACCTGAGTGAGCCATAAATACCTGGGTATTTTTTCTTAAGTAATGGTGTGATTTTGTTGTTGTTGTTGTTGTTTGACATATGCTGTGTATTTATGCATATATGTTTTAGCTGGCACAAAGCAAAATCTGATAGCATAGCAGGTGGCATAAAGATGGAGTATAATATAATAGCACCTGCTGTGGTCACATTCATATGGAAGGCATACAAAGGAATATTTAGGTAATCTATTTATGTTATTCACAGAGATCCAAGTCACGTCATTGATCTTCAGCCATCAGTGGATATTATGGCCATAGGAGAACTGATAATGTCTACATAAAAGTTCAGTTTCATGCTCAATCTGTATTTGTTTCATACAAAGACTATTTTTTTTTGTGTCAACCATGTTGCATGGAACCCAGTAAACATGTTGAAAGAATAATTCATCACCCCCAAATCCAAACATCTGGAAATGATTTTCCTATTCATATTTAAAATCAAATTTCTGCACAGCTAATCAGAAAGATGTTATTTTAATCAAAATACTCGCAGGAATGTCTGATGTCTTACTTTAATTTCCATTTCAGCAAAACTAATTGTAGTTAAAACTTTCTTGTGCAAAAATTGATGCATATCGTTTTAGCTCCTTGTAATATATATATTTGGCACCTATTGGAAAGATATGTCACTCTTGTTTTCATTTAATGGAGGTATACATTTGAAAGAAGTAATATATTGAATGTTGGTTTTGAAGTCAAACACAGAAATTATATGATCATTTGATTATATTATTTTGTAACAACAACAAAAAACAAACCCATAGCAACTTTACATGGAAGGGGATAGAAACGAGATTACCATTGGGAAATTCAGACCATTGGGCCATATTTTTGTTGTGGTACAGTACTAGTCTCATAATCTTCTAAATAAGCCAGGAACTTGCCCACATTGTAGGCATTAAATGAATGAATAATCATCACCAAAATAGAGCACATTTAAACTCTTTAGAATGTTGATTAATTTAAGCATATGCATCTTGAGTTATTTTCCCTAGATGATAAGCACTTATTTTTAGAATCAGTCATGTTCATTTCAACTGCATATGCAGTTTTGCTTTATTTATTAATTCAGTCAAGTTACTGAGGAAGATTGTAAGCCAGAGTTTTGTTTAAATTGGATATTAGTCTTTAGTCCGTTATTTATTCACAATTCGGTTAATGTATTTGTTATTGTCTCAATTTTAAATATTATAAATGTAATACAAAGAAAGAATTTTTTCTTTCAAATTTCACAGACCTGCCTCCTGGTTAGTACTACATTTTCTCTGTTCATTATTTGTGTGTGACTATCTAAATCTAAATTAATTCAAGTTAAGTAAATTTATAACATGACCTCATCAGTTTTACTAGCCACATTCTATATGAGTAGTGACTGCTGAATTAGGGTGCAGACAGAACATTTCCATACCCACCACCATCATCACAGAAAGTTCTGCTGGACAATGATGAGCTAGAGGATGATCTTAGAGAATCAAATAAAATGCAGTAACAGAATGCCTTCATTTTTTAACTATCTGGATCTTTATTTCCAATCTCACTTCCCAATCCAAAGATATAAGGCTGTTTACAGACATGGTTTATTCTGTCTACAAGACAGAAAATACATAAGACCGACCCGGGCTAGTAAAGTATATTTGTGGGGCTCTTCAAAGAGACATAAGAACCAACTGAAAGAATGGCCAAATGCCAAAAATTGAGAAATTAAAATGAATGAGTTAATAATACTTAGATTATAGCTAAAACTAGAAATGAAATGCCCTTGAACTCACAATCATCTTATTCCCGAATAGGAAAAAATTAATGATAATGGAAATCACTTTGATATTCTGGGTTAAGAAATATCATTTTGGTATATATTTGTTTCTTATCCTCTAATAACAAAATGATTTTGGCAGTTGTATTTCAGGCTCTCTGTTGTTATCATTGCAGTTGTTTGAATGCTCTGCTCCATTTAGCTAGTGGCACTCTATTCAACTAATCCTATTTTAAGGCCATTGAAGATTCTTGCTATACTTAATTATATTTTTCAATATACTATTGATGTTAAAGAATAAGCGGTGTGTATATTTCATCTAAACTCTGTGCTACATTCTATAGGTTAGCATGATGCATTTAAAAATAGATAAAATGTTGATGTTTAGAGTGTTTCACAAAGCACTGAAATATCGAAGTTCCTTAAACAGATGAATTGAACAGTTGTACTGTGAAGGAAGTATTTTATAAAGTTTTTATAACTACTTATTTGTTTTATGTGCATGAATGTTTTACCTACATGAATGTATTGTGTGATGTATGTTCCTGGTGCCTATAGATGTCAGAAGAGGGTGTCAGATTTTCTGGAATGATAGGGATGGTTGTGAGTTAGCATGTGGGTGCTCAGAAGGATACCGGGCCCTCTTCAAGAATAACAAATGCTCTAAACCACTGATCCATCATTCCGACCCCCATGAAAGAAGCATTTTAAGAATATTGATGGTTCCCTAATTAAAACATAAGAAAAATCCATTTCTGAAGGCTCAACAGAAGTGTAAGTATAAGTACCTATCTTTTAGACTCTTGTTTCTCCATGTTTTATCTTTCTATCGTCAGATTTCTTTGGCATACTCCTGAATCATCTTCTCCATTTATATTACTATCATTGAAAGGCAATGTTTTTGATGGGATCCTTTAGAGCTTGACTTGTCTCTCCTGGGATCTCACTCCTCCTCTGTACATATTCCTTCACAACCTTTAAGAGCCAGTTTGTACAAACAAGACTATTCATTAGATTTACACTTGGGGTTTTAAACACTTGTTTCTGTGGTAGCATTTGCACTTCTTTTTTAGTAGTCATCGGTCTCAGCAGAGTTTCTTCCCATGACTTCTTTCCCAATAGAGCTCCTTACATTTCCCACCAGTGTGAAGGAATAAAGGACATATTTTCTGCCTTTTGCTGTTGTTGGTACTTGATACCTGAAATACTCCATTTTTTTTAATCTTAAAAAATAGATGTAATTCCAATTTTTTGTTTGGTTGTTTTTGTTGTTTAAGAAAGGGTTTCTCAGCCGGGTTTGGTGGCGCATGCCTTTAATCCCAGCACTTGGGAGGCAGAGGCAGGCAGATCTCTGTGAGTTCGAGGCCAGTCTGGTCTACAAGAGCTAGTTCCAGGACAGCTTTCAAAGCCACGAAAAAAAAAGAAAGAAAGAAACAAAGAAAGAAACAAAGAAAGAAAGGAAGAAAGAAAGAAAGAAAGAAAGGGTTTCTCGGGCTGGAGAGATGGCTCAGAGGTTAAGAGCACTGACTGTTCTTCCAGAGGTCCTGAGTTCAATTCCCAGCAACCACATGATGGCTCACAACCACCTTGAATGAGATCTGGTGCCCTCTGCTGGCATGCAGGCAGAAGACTGTATACAAAATAAATAAATACAATCTTTAAAAAAAAAAAGAAAAAAGAAAGGGTTTCTCTGTGTAACAGTTCTGGCTGTCCTGGAACTCCCTGTGTAGACCAGGCTGGCCTTGAACTCAGAGAGCTGACTGCCACTACCTGCTGGGATTAAAAGTGTGCACCACCACTGCCTGACTTCACTTCTAGGGGAAAAAAAGAAGATAAAAGGGTTTCTGTCTCAGGCATGTGGATTAAGTGTCTGTTGTGTGAATCAGTTTCATATTGTCTGGGAAAACCAAATTATATTCATTATTTTGCTCTCTTTTCTCATTTACTTCTTTACAGACTCAGCGTTTTGGTGATCTTTCAAGTCCACTTCTTCTAAAATATTTTCCATTTTGCATTCAGGTGTCCTGCTTATTTCATTGATTTCTGTAGAGCAGAGAAACCATACACATGCCTATGGTTCACTTCCAAGGACTTCTGGAGTATGATGAGCAGCCAAACATACAATATATTTAAAATGTTAAATTTCTCAACCAGTGTGTAAATGATGTTCCTTGCTAAAGTTTGGATTGATGCATGTCAGAGAGATGCAAAGCAAACCGAATGAACTCTAGGTAGCCTGTGCTGGAACAATATAAACAGTTTCAGAGGGTTGGTCTATTATCATTATGGCAGGAAGCAGCCAATCATGGCACTGGAGCAGTAGCCAACAGCTTTACGTGTCAATCCACAGGCAGCAGGCAGAGAGAAAGACAGAAGGACAGGCATGGACTGAGGTTTTTATAATGAAGTTTATTTGAGAAGTTAGAAACTAATATCAATTCCATAGCTCTAAGCTCTCATGTTTATTGTCACTATATTAAGGTTGGCCAGTGCTTGAAAAGTATCTGTTCCTCAGAATTTGAGTATTGATTATGGTGCTGAATATTTGCACTATGGGCTATAAAATGGTCTGGTGATTTTGTTTTGCCAATTGTTATTGTGAGACAATGTGCAGTGTTCTTTAAAATGTCTCACTTTAAAGTTTGAAAATACTATCTGAATTCCAGTATGTAACTTCTGAGCTTTTACAGACCTCAGATTATTGCAGCCACATGTGTCTCTTATAAAAAAACAGGAAATGTTTGAATCAGATTTATATTGCTTAATATCATTGAATCTCATTCACTACCACACTGATCTGTGCTAGAAATGCTTTTCTGTTGCTTTGTAATGGCAGGCAGAGATTGGGGCAGCTGACAAAATTGATATCCAACATATTCAAAGTTCTAGTTAGACAGGAGGTGCCATTTAAAGACATGTTGTATATCAAGGTGACCATAGTTAGTATATTGTATATTTCTTGGTAAAAAATTGAGATTATAATTTAATTACATTTCTTCCTTTCTTTTCTCCCTCTAAACCCTCACATATATGCTGCCCCTCTCTCATTCAAATCCATGGCCTATCTTTTCATTAATTGTGATTGCATACTATGTATTTCAAAATGGCTAAGGGAATATATTTTAAATATCTTCATTACCAAAAAATGATAAATGTGTTAAATGATTGATATATCAATTAATGACATAATTACTCTGTAATATATCAGAACATCAAGGATACCACACATGCATCCCATGTGTACAGGTATTTTTCAGTTAATTTTAAATTAAGAAATAAATAAGAGTCAGACATTGCAGTCATCTATTTCTCTGAGGACTTTTTCTACATTGCTGGTGATCAAAATCAGGGCTTTGCACATTCTAGGCAAGTACTCTATCCCTGAGCCATATTTCCTGTCCTGAAGACTTTTTTAATGTATAATGTCACCTTTAATTTCATTTTCTCTACTCTGAATTATTTTTTAAGTAAAATTAGATTATTTGTCTTCTCAAGAAACCCCAGTGGAAATTATAGTACTAAATAATACAATAATAAAAATAAGAAACATGCTGATAGACTCAGTAATACAGCAGAGATGTCAGAATATAGAATCTGTATCTAGTGAAACTATCTCTCATGAGTTAAGGGGAAATAATAATGAGATTATCGGTCAAAGGGGGAAAAATACCTTCACCTATCAGGCATGCCCTTGAAGAATGGCGAAAGGAATTACTTCTGAAATAAAGAAAATGATGAAAGGAAGGATCTTCAAACATTATGGAGACAGAAGGAACAAAAGGAAGGGCAGAAATATGAATAAATATGGGTGTCTGCTTTAACTCATGAGTTCTGTATATCATATGTGATGGTTGAAACAAAGAATCCAGCATTCTCCTATACCATTATCTTGTACTTGAGACAATGACATTAAATGCTGAGATGGTAAGTGGATCTAAATGTAAGTGAAATTTACACATAACACTCCAACTAGTAAAATATTGACACCAGTAGATTGTTATACTTCACATATTCATAGTGGTTCATTTAGTCTTTTATTTTGCAGTGCTGGGAATTGAACTCAGAGCCTTGTGCATGTTAGGTGGATTGCAATGCCTTAAGTTACATCTTCTTGTATAGAGCACACAATCAAGCAGTAGCATAATGGACTGTGGTGCTATATTGTTTATGATCTAATAAACTGAAGATCAGAATGCAAAACTAGCCACAGCCATAGAACATGGGCCCTTCAATCCCAGGACTCAGGAGACAGATGAATCTCTGTGAGTTCAAGGCTACCCAAGGCTACATGAGAGTGAATCAGTCTAAAAGAGAAACAGAGCTCTCGCCTTTAATCCCAGCACTAGAGAGGTTCTTGTATTCTGGCAATTAGTTTCCAGCCACATTGAAGACAGGATTTCCCTTCCAGCCTTGGTAGAGGTAAGAGCTACTGGCTTGGCTGCCTTGCTTCTTTGATCTGCAGCTTGAACCCCAATATCTGCCTTTGGGTTTTTATTATTGATGCTACAGTGGATATTTCCTCCCAAATACCTACAGAACATGGACTAAGAAAGACCACATACTTAGCCATAAAAACCTAAATTTAAAATAAATGAAATCATACAAAGCATGGAATCTCAGTATAATGTGACCAAACACAAACTAGTAATGAGAGCATGAGGTTGTAACTCGCAAGTACAGTGCCTACTTGGCATACACAAGCCTCCTTTTACCTGTCCTCAACACCCTGGAAAGTTACCGAGGTCCCTCAAAGTGATTTCTCTATGTGCAACATCTCTACCTATATTTACTATGTTAAAAATTAAAACAAAAAAATTTGAAAAATATACAACACATATTCCCTTAGTCTCCAGATCAGTGACATTATTACCTGTTATGTAGGTTTTGGTTTACTCCACTATATAGTCATAAAAGGATGAAAGTATATAAGAAAACTGACATCTTTATACTACTGTGGATATAATCTAGGTCTCCTGGTAAGCTCCCCACATACAGTGATCTTAGGTGTAGGACAGCCAACTCATCTGGAATTTTCCTAGTTTGGGCCTTGAAAAGCCATTGCCTCTGACTTATCTAGTTCTTTAAATAAAATTCTCTGTATTCAAGGACCACTGTATGATGGGAAATCTGGTTTGATTGTTCTCCATACTCAAACTTTTTTTTTTGGTTTTGTCGAGACATGGTTTCTCTGTGTAACTTTGGAGCCTATCCTGGCACTCGCTCTGTAGACCAGGCTGGCCTTGAGCTCACAGAGATTCCCCCTGCCTCTGCCTCCCGAGTGCTAGGATTAAAGACGTGCGCCACCACCACCCAGCTATATACTCAGACCTTTTAGTGTCCCTGGGTAAGACATTAAGAAGCTGTATATAGCAAGAGCCATATATGAATTATCAGTCCAGTGTTATTACCTCACCATCACCTAGGTTTTTAATCATCTTCATGTCATAACAGGTCACCTGTATGTTTCATTCTACTCTTTTCCGTCTTAGAGTCTCTAAAGATATTTTGTATTTTGTGATAAAAAATGTCATCAGAATATATATACTACTAACTATCTCCTGATTTTTTTTTCAGGTCAGGTTAGCTTGGTTCAGGTGACCATCCCAGACAGTTTCATGAATGTGACTGTTGGATCTAATGTCACTCTTCTCTGCCACTATACCACCACTGTGACGTCCCTGGACAAGCTTACAATACAATGGTCTTTCTTCCACAATAAGGACATGGAGCCAGTTTCTGTAAGGATTCTCTAACTAAGTAACTCTCACTTAGTAGTTCTTGCTGAAAACTGTTGGGATGAGAATACAAAGGAACAGTGAAATATGAAGGAACTAGTGAGAACAGTGACAAAATTTGAGACACAGAGTTTTTAGATAGCTCTTTAGGGAAGACAGTCTTTATCTAAACGACTTGGTCTTTGTATTCCCGGGTTTGTCTGTTATCTCAATTTTGACTAGTCAGCATTATGTGTATCACATATTCCAGAATAGCCACAGGCCTCCTCATAGGTGAAGTAAGCAGTAGCTTAAAAGGGTATCTTCCAAATATCCCCCCATTATTTCCAGAAGACCTGAGTTCACATGCAAACCCCAATGGATCTGCCTCATTTAATAACTGGGATTTGCCTGTCAGGGGAATTCAGTCATTGTTCCAGATTGAGTCCTGACAGTTTGAGGTTTCCCAGATCAGTGGAGAAGGGCCATGGTAGTAATGAACCCTTTGTAATTGAAGGCAGCATGCAGTTAGAAGATAAAGGATGGAAGGAGTGGACCAAAGGTTTGGCAGACGTTGCCAGAATAGGGTGGATGAGTACCTATGGGGAAGGATGATTCCACAGGCAAATGCTTATCACCAGATTTTCTTCATTTGGCTTTGAAAGTAATTCTTTTTGAAAATGATCCCAAGAGCTAAAATTGTATTACATAAATGTGTGTGTGTGTGTGTGTGTGTGTGTGTACATCTGTGCATATGTGTATGCAAACATATACAATTCATGCCTCTCTACATTCCTTGAAGAGAAAGGTCTACAGTTACCAGATTCTCAAAATGATTCATGACCCCAAATAGTGAAGAGATAAGCACCGGTGGTTTGGAATAGTCGACTGCCCTGAGTTAGACTTTGGGGGAAAGGGAGATTTGTTTATTAGAAAGACAAGGGAGGGGAGCCTAGAAGCAGTAGTGGAGGGGAAGAAAGGTATTAGCGTGGAGGAACTGTATCTTGGCCAGTTAAGATTCAGCTATCACTGATTCTTTGTAAGTAATGAATTTCTCTACTTGAGATTGTGAATATTTCCTTATCAGAGAACACATCCATAGGGAGATCTAGTCTATATTCAAAGTTAAACAGTTTTGTTTCATTTGGTTATAGTTAGACATTTGTATCATGCCATGCCTCTCCATCTCTTTAAAATACAGTACAATGACAGTACTCATGGGGAAATGATCTGACATAAGACATATGAAAACACTTGAAAAATACAAAGCTCTCTCACTTTTATCCCATGCAAACATCCGCAGCAGCAGCAGGGCCATCAGCAGCAACAAATAACACAAATGGTTCCAGTTTCCATCATCCAAAGTGTTCCAACATGTTTGTGTCAACTAAGAAATAATTGCCTTTTCCCACAGGTTTTTTTCACTTAGATAGCAATAGTCACACGGTCTGTTCTTCTAAAAAATTGGTTTCTTAGTAGTCTTTTCAATACATTGTTCGTAGACATGGAGTCCTTCTCATTTTTCTGGTGGTAGCTGAATTTAGAGAGACCTCAGCATCTTTTGCTTGATACTCAATTCAAGATGTCCTTAATTTTCTGGAGGCCAGGCAAAGCAAATCTGAGCTCAACAGTTTAGATTCTTCATTTTGTATCCCCTGATAGTCGAATTTACAGAGCTACTTTTGATTGTTTTCTAGCCACATAGAAGCTGGGAAAGAATTGTGACTAGCAGTGAACTTCTCTTAGGACGAGACTGCAGGGGAAGAAGCTTTAGGCAATTGTAATGAGTTTGGCTCGAGCTCTGGACTCCTCTTGAAAGAACTTTTTAAAAAAATCTTTGACAAGTACTTGATGAATTGCTTTCTTTACTTGCCAGATCAAATGAGGTCCTTTCCCCTGAGCTCCTCGATCAAATGAAAAATGCTTGAGACCTATTTAATGCCTGTTCTGTAGAACATGTTGTCAGTTCATCTAGTGAATGCAGCTGGGATGGTTGGGGATGTCAAAAAGAGACCGCTAGTCGATAGAGGTAGCTCAATTGGTAGTATGCTTGCCCAGTGTGCATGAAGCCCTGTTTTTAATTCACTACCATTGCATAAACGAGCATGCCTGTAATACTAGAACTCGGGTGGTGGAAGAAGGAGGAATAGACATCATTAATGACTTCCTATCAAGTTCAAAGCGAGCCAGTGATACATGAAATGCTCTCTCAAGCCACCATCCCCCCACATGTATCTGTAATAGAGACTGCTGTTTATAGAGCATTCTGTGACATATGGGAGTAAGGTGTTGCTAGACTGACCACTGAGTGATTTAAGTCAACTCCTGGGTTGATGTGGTAATAGCATGTAGCATTCTGCTCTCAGATCCACCCATTTCTGCTCAAACACAGCATGGCTCGCGCCCCAATACTGAGGGTATGGAGGAAAAGGCAGTCAGTCAGTGTCTAAAAATGGTGCATGCAAGAGACGCTCGGGGAAGATGTAGCTGGACCTCTCAGGTAAGAAAACCCATTGATGTACTACTAGATCCCTCTACCAGTTGCAGTCTAGGACACTAGCCCCTGCCTTAGGACTGGGGTGGAAGGGTTTATGTTTGATAACAACACAGATTAGTGTAAGCCCTATATAAATCTGGGGAAGTTTGTTTTCTTGTGGTTTGGTTTTTTGAGACAGGACCCTGCCATAGAGTACAGACTGGCCTGGAACTTGGAATCCTCCTGCCTCAGCCTCCTAAGTACTGGGATTATAGGTGTGTATCATTTATGCTAATAAAAACTAGAAAGTATGGGCTTGAGAGGTGGCTCAACAGTTTAGAGAGCTTTCTGATGTTGCAGAAGACCTGAGTTTGATTCCCAGCAGCCATGCTAGATGGCTCACAATTGCCTGTAACTCTAACTCTAGGGAACCCAACGCCCTCTTCTGGCCTCCTTGAGCACCTTCACTCCCATGCACATAACCACACATGAGTACATACGCATAAATAATTTTTAAAAAATAAAATAAAACCTAGAGAAGTTTTGAGTTTACCTTCTCATGTCCATGCCTGGAACACTTTTAATCCTCCTCCAAAAAGATTCAGGGCCCTATAGCTGCTCTGATCAGGCTGGTGTCCATCTTTTGCCACCTCAAACCCATTTGCATTAAATAGCAACTGACACTGGGTCCTAGTGTTTCTCACTTACCCAGGGCCAGATACTGTGTCTCATTGAATGTCCTGTCTAGGGAGGTTCCTTTGGTTCATGGAAACTGCTTCTTCCACAATTCCCCTGATCCTGAGGACAGACAGTATCCATTTGGCCTTCCTTTCAAAAATATGGACAGCTTCACACCATCCCTTGGGGTAATCTATGAAAACTCATGTGACACAAGCAGGTTAACAAGGAAGTTTGGGGAGATCTGGTGCCCCTTGGCCATAGATTCTTCCCTTTTCCATCTAGCTTGTTATGCTAGAACTAGAGACAACACTTACTCATGAGTAAAATGCACACTGACCCTGCTTAGTATGGGTCTGTTACACAGTGCTCTCCCAGAGTCCTCACAATAGAAATCCTTCACCATCCTCATATCCATAACATCTCTAAAATTTGGACAACTCCTTCCCCAGAATCTAGTGTCTTCATATTTTCTGGCTTCTTACATTTTTAAAACTGTTCTGTCGTTTCTGTAGGTTTTATTATTTCAAATGGTTCTGTAATCTTGGCAGGGCAGGGGTTGTAATCCATCACTTCAGGTGGATTTAATAATGGAGAGGGCATTGCTTTTATTTTTTTAGGACCTCCATCCCTCAGTGACATTTGGTGGTTTCTGGCTTAAAGCTGCTAAATGCTCCACAATGCATGCAGCAGAGCCATGTAACAAATTGTCCCAAATGCTACTGTGGTCAGGGGAGAACACTACAACTCTTCTGTCTCTTCTCACTAATGTTTATCTATTCTGGACTTCATTTTATTTCTGCTGAACAAGTGCAGCTAAGCAGGGATCTCCCATTATTTCAGCCAAAAATCATGCAAAATAGTCACTCAAATGGTGGATGACTCAAGCAAATAACCAGCTGGTAAAATGGGGCAAGAGAGCCTTTCTTATGGTATTCTATTTCTATTATGTAAAATCTTAGCCTTCATAGTACAGACCAGAGAACAGTCTGGGTCTGAAACCTTTGCTACTTTCCCAGCCATGTCTAGCTGCTTTAGGAGCAATACCGAAAGCAAGGAGCTGGAAGGGAGGAAAAGGAAAGAATGTGTGGTTTAGCTGTGGACTTCCAGGCTTCCATATCTCCCAAAGGAACCTGGAAAGCAGTTCTGAAAGCTAATGGCATTTAGTAAACCCAACTCGGGACTCAAATAGAAAGCAGATGGGATCCTTTCAAGCTTTCTTGCTTATGCATCAAGCTTCTAGTTTGAGAGTGGTGGTGCAAAATGGAGGGAACAACTGGCTGCCAGCTGCACAGCCTTGTGTGACTAGGAACTTGGCGTGATAGGCAGAGGAAGGCTGCTGTGTAAAGATACCAAGAAGCCTGCAGTGCAGCTGGAGACTGTGGCATGCATTGTGTATCTGAACTGTTTGATATAGGAAGCAGCAGACCAGGGAACAGCAGCAGCTGGCACAAGATAGGAAAGGGAGACAGCCATAGACAGTGGAACAGCCCCAGAGGGAGGGTAAATCATCACCCTTGTCTTGGGCAGGACTGAGAGTGCTACTTAATGCTTACAGTGGGAGTCATGAGCCTTTTATTCTAGTTTTGACTATAAATTACTGTGTGATCTTGGGAAAAATCATTTCCCCTATTAGGGCCTCAGTGTCCTCTGTAATAGATAAGACTGAATTAGAATTTATGAACTGGAATCCTCAGAGACTGACTTGGCCAACAGATGTATTTTGGTTGGCTAGGCTGGCATTTTGTTCCCACAGGTTATGCCAGTTCCTCAGTATTCCATGGTCCCCTCTGGCCTTTAGAAACCTCAGTCTACTTCTAGGCCCTGCACCATCTTGTTCTTATTTCCAAGAACTATCTGGCTCCTGAAGGCTCCTGAACCTTAGTGACATGAACTAAGTGATCTCAAAGAGGATCTAATCACTAGTAATAGCCTTCTGTGACTCTACCCACCAGCTACCAGCATGGCAAAGAGGGCAGAAAGAGGAGACATTGAGAGAAAGCAGGGCTTTTTATCATGAACACAGGCACAGGCAGCAGTGGTTATAATTTTTTAACAATTACTACTTTAGGAAACATTGGGATGGATTATTTATGTATTTACGTATGTATGTATGTATGTATTATGGATCAGTGTTCTGTCTGCATGTATGCCTGCAGGCCAGAAGAGGGCACCAGATCTCATTACAGATGGTTGTGAGCCACCTTGTGGTTGCTGGGAATTGAGTTCAGGGCCTCTGGAAGAGCAGCCAATGCTCTTAACCACTGAGCCATCTCTCTAGCCTGGGATGGATTTTCTTAAAGCAGGGCTCCTCTCATCCCGGCTAAAGATGTGGCTTGTTGACCACATGAGGCTTTTCCTTGGTCTCAGTAGTTCTGATCTCCAAATTTACAATAATTTTTCTTTGCAAAGGATATAAACTACATAGTGTCATGAGCCATGCCTCAGCCATTATTCAGCTTTAATTGTTTTTGCTTAGCCTTGATTTTTAAAAGTATTACTCTTTATGGAAAATGAAACCAACTTGTAGCCCTTCCAGAGTGATTAGATAAGCAGTTTGGAGAAAACGTTCCTTTCTTCTTTTCTTCCCAAGGACAGAGTTTACACAGTGGACTTGCCCAAGCAGAAAGTCCCTTCATCTGTATGTCTGGCTAGCTAATGTTTGGGGCTTTCCTCCTCAGACAACAGCCTGAACTCAAGGCCTTTACCTTTTAGGTCTCCTGTCGCATCCCTTGAGTATCTCTCATCTGTGAGGGAAATACTGATTAGACTGCAGTGTAAGTAACTGGATAGAAGGGTTGGTGGGTGCCCTTTCCTGTATAAGTTACATATCTGAGACTTAGGCGTGTGCCACCATGCCTGGTCTCTGCTGCACCCTTCTGTGTCCTAGTCCTTGCCTAAAAAAGTACTCTGGGACCCTCATTTTTAAATAATCAAGGCCCCATCACCTGGCTCCTCTAGAACTTTCTGTGGCAGGATTGGTGTTGTGGTT